TCCAGGCAGTGATGATTTGAGGAACGCACCTTCATGAATACTAGGCAAGGTTATGGACTCCGTGTGCTGACAACTCTGTAACAGTTTTGCTTCTCTCCAACCACTTATGATGACCCAGATATACGCCAAGTAACTTCAGACACCTAGCTGAGATATTTAACTTAGAAGAAGTGTAATTGTCCTAGGCTTCCTTTACAGAGTATGGGGAGTGAGAGAAACTCCCCAGAACACCTCTAACATCCAAATAATGGTCTGGAAGTTGCTGTCTCCAAAGACTATCATGACAACCTCAGGCAATTAGGCTGCCCTAAAATTGGAGCCTGGATTAAGAGCTAGGGTGAGTTCTTATGCCTAATGATTGCTTATTTGAGAGCAAATACCTTGGCATGAGAGGTTAGCTGATGCTCTCTCAAGATCTAGACTATTGGCCACAAGATCATTATGTTGGTATTAAGGCCACAGATATTTAGGTCCAAGACAACACATGAAAGAGTAAAAGATGGCACGTCTTTTGGAAGATGGGTGATTTGCTTACTTTTAAATTTGCCTGAAGAAGGAAGTTAGTTGACATACTCTCAAATTCCAGAAGAAGCCATGAGTTTGATGGGGATTCTGCTCTGTGTCTGCTTGGTACGTGTGTGAATATTTATATTCCTAAGGATCTTCAATAGCGATTTTGCAGAAGCAGTATAAATTTGAATCTTCCTCTCATACGAGCAACAATACAGCAGCCTAATGATGTGTTGAACGTGGGGAAGGTGTGACAAGGAAAGGAGAACTACATATATGCTCTTTCTCAGGCTCTTCCGTGTTGGAGACAGGCTAGACAGGCTTTTGTCAGATTCAGTATGGCCCTTTTTCTATTCGAATGATATACGCTTATCATCCCACCCCCACAGTCTGCTGATGACCTTGCCTCCGTGACATGCTTTGGAAATGTTCTTGAAGTTTCCATGAATACCTGGAGTTTTGCCAAACAGAGTCACAAGCTGACTGCTAAACTGCCACAGAGACAGGGCTGGCTTCTGACCACAAGTAGAGCAGCATGTACCATCCTGGGTTAGTGAGGTCAGTGAAGTCATTTCTGGTGTTCAGCTGTACAAGAGAAGCACCAGGCCCTGTACATAGACATGTCGGATGTACTTACGCACACATATATACACACCCTGTGTGCACAAAAACTTATTTATGCACAGACAGAACTAACGATAGGACTGATTGTGAAAGGACTCTGCCACTATTTTCACAGGGTCTTCTCACCTGCAGGAAATGCTCCATTCCCTCCAACATGTAGTACACCCTCAAAATTACGATGTAATTTTGATTATTCTTGGAAGCAAGGTCATGTCCAGAAAAATCAAGTTTTATGTTCTAATAAAAAATTCAGAAGGTTCCCCTGGGCCTTCACTGATTTTGTGAGCACTGTGATACAGTTTGTGACATACCAGTCTTTAATTAAAAGCCATGCGGTTGAAATGCTGGCTATATTTGATACATGAAGAGTTTATCTCCCTGCTGGTTCAAAGTGGCAGTGTTGGTTCTTGAAAGAATATCTCCCAAATGATCAAGAAGGGTAATGCAAAGATGGGGCTATTACTGGTTGGGCTGAGGATGTCACTGGAGCAGTGGATACTAGAGCTGCTCAAGGCCACTGCAGGTGTGCAAAATACAAGCAGTGTTCAAATGCAGCCCTTCCCTGTCTATGAAAAAAATCTCAGAGTAAGATTGAAGAAGTTACACATCTTGACTGGAAGTGTAACTTAAAGCTGACTTCACATTTTTTGCATTAGTTTAACTATATGGATGCTTCACAGTGTAGACACTTTTCTTCTGAATGGAGCAATTCCTGTTCCTTCCACACCTTAATGTGCTTATTTCTCTCTCCCATGACCTCTGCTTGCCAAACTGTTGTGTGAATGCCCTGTAGTTCATTTCAGCTACAAATGAGCTGGATTTACAAAAACGTGATGGTTAAACTGGTTAAGCTAGCCAGGCTCATTTGATTGAGCTGAAAAGTCTCTGGAAGAGACACTGTGGTGAGGTACAGAGATCAGGTTCAGAGCAACTGAACAGTGTTATCAGGGAGATATCATACCAGCGATATGATATGATATAATATGGTATGATATGATATGGTATGGTATGACATGACATATATCAGATACAGTGTCTCCATACCTGGATACCAAACCAATTCATATATGTTGTCTGAACCTCATGACCACCATCTCTGCTAAACTGAACAGATCAGAGCAAAGCCAGAGTAAGTGTATTTCAATACAGTACTTTTTTCCAGTTTGCCTATACCTTTAGAAACAGCCCTCTGCACTGATACTGGGTGCAGATTCAGGCTGAATGACTGGGAGACCCTCAGGTACTGGAACAACGTGATGTCCAGTTAAGTTGGAAAGCAATAGATCAGCAGCGGCCAAATGGAAAACACAGAAAGTAAAGAGAGAATATCATGTACTGAGTCCTTAAGGAATAGGCTGAGGGTTAGTACAGGATTAAGGGAACATTTCCTAAGAGGTTGTCCTGCTCACCTAATTTCAAAGCATTCAACAGCAGAAATGTACTGGGAGACACTCTTTTACCCTTACTCTGCTCTTTGCCAGCATACGTGACTTTGGGCTCTTTTCAATTTTGAAGATTCAGAGATGAATTTTGTCCAGATTAGTTGAGAAGAAAAGGGGGAAGGCAATAAGATCCCTCTCTCTCCACTGGATTTGCAACTGGATGCTTCTATGAGGACATAGGATTTATAGGGCATTGATGAAATTGTGTTTCTGCAAGGAGCAGAATTTGGTTTTCCTACATGTAGTCTGCAAATGTGCCGCGTTTCTGCTGCTGCCAGGGCTGGTTGTGCAGCAAGGGAAGGTATTTCTAAAACAGACTGAAGGACCCAGTGTGTAATCTAGCCCACTGCTATTGTTGCCTTGAGCTCTGTTTGTTTAGGCCAAGGTAAATTCTTGCTCAGCTGGAAACTTCCCCACCAAAGGGATGAATGCAATGGTCCTTGGGAAATGGCCCAGGGCTGAGAAGTCGTACCAGTTCCAAGGGAAAACCAAAGCCTTTGTGCCTCAGAGGGACAAACACCAATGAAACGTTTTTTGGCTCTCAGAGGAAAAAAAAAAGTGAAAACACAAGTGTTCTCAGCTCAGCGTTATGGGAAAATGTGGCTAATGCAGGAATACTCTGCCTGTTTTCACTCCTTCCTCTTGCAAATACCTTTTTAACTCCAGGACTGACTTCAACTAAATTTGATAGAGCAGAGATATTTCAAGAATAATTAACTTTTTATCAGTTTTGAGCTTTAGATTTAAAAGAGAAAGAAACTCACTGTGCACTTGTATTACTGCATGCGAGAGACTCTCTAAGAAAGACACTGTATAAATACTTCCAAAATACTTCAGTTAGAGATTAAGATTTCCTACACTGAAATAAAGCAACAATCTGGTACAGATCTGCAAGAACCAGACTACAGTAATACTAGTTCCCACAGAACTGGTGAGTCCTTATTTCAGAAAGGGTTGAGCATCTAAGCAAAAGGTACTGCTCTAGAAGAAGGAAAACCTTTCCATATTTCCCTTGATTCAACTAGAAAAAGAATGCTAACAGTGTCTTTCAGATTCAGACCCCATATATTTTTTTTCTTAATATTTATTCTTTTTCCCTTTCCAAAGTAAGACAAAACAGTGGCATTGGTGCTCATGGCACCCTTATGCTGAGTCAGGTATAGCCTCGCCTGTGAAGAATCAGCCACTAGCCTCCTAAAAGCACACTTTGGTGCTCTGACTCCTATTTAAATAAGTTTTCCTGGACTGGATGAGTTCAGGATTCACTTCCCCTCTGAAAAGTAGGTGGGACTGTGGGGGAGGCACTTAGAAGGAAAATACTGACTGGCATCCAGGTGATGCAGACCTCAGCAGGTCTAGAGCATTTCCTTCAGTGGAAGAGTGAGGTGATTAAAAAGCACCCTTTGGTGCTTGCAATGATTTGTGAGGTCAGTAGACGGCTTTGGCTACAGCGGAAGGTGCGACAGGATTATACTGAAAGCTGAGGCACTCTGTTTCCTTTCTCTTAGAAGAAAAAAAAAAGCAGCAGAAATGGCTTAGAAGTAGATTAAAAGAAGCAGCTAGCCCTAGGAGAGGAGTCTAGGGAGAAAGGATAAAGGAATGAGTCCTGTGGGAATGAGATGGTCTGTCATTCCTGCCGGCTTAGCCGGTTCTTCCCTTTGCTTCCAACTTCTTTTAGGATTGTTGTTTATTCTTTTAAAAATCCAGAAAGGAGGGGAGAGCTGAGGGTCAGGTGCCTTGCAGAGCCTCCCTGGGGAAGGGCAAACTGGGCAGTGCAAACCGCTCTGGAAGGGAGGTGTGAATGGGAGGGGGATAAAGGCTAAATGTAAGCCAAAGGAGATGGTCTGGACAAGAACCAGCTATGGTACTGGGCCAGATGGGATGCTGCTGGGGCAGTGATGCTTTAGCTGGAAGCCTCCTTTGAGGCTCACAAAGGATTCCTGGGACTCAAGGACTCTAGTTTGCTTTAGAAATTGGTCATCCCCCAAACGCCAAAAATAACCATGGCCTGACTTAGCCAGCAGCCTGTGTTGCAACTATACCAGACTCTGTATGAGTCAGGAAGAAAACGGTAGGAGAGGAAGGGAAAGGACGGCACTGTGTGGGCTACGCAGGGTGTGGTGAAGAAAGCACAGTCTGGTTCCACTGCCCGAGGTAGCATCATTATCCGACTCTCATTCAAATAAGTTTTTCTGAACGAGTTCAGGATTCACTGTCCCTCTGAAAAGTAGCTGGCACTGTGGGGGAGGCACTCAGAAGTCTTGACTGGCATCCAGGTGGCACAGATCTCAGCGGGGTTTTGCATGTTAAGGCTAGAGGTCTTGACGCGTTTCCTTCAGCAGAAGAGCGAGGTGACTAGGTGCAACGCGGGTTTGCTCTTACCTTGATGGGAGTGGCGACTTCTGGGCTGGCTACCACTAAAGGAGAGATTAACAGCATGCCTGAAAACTCACTGGGTCTCTCACTAGCTGTCAGAATGGAGATGGCTCCCCCCTGCAATGCAAAATAACAGCCCACAGCTTAATACAGGTGTCAACATCTTGTTTGTATAGTAATCCTGCTACTGGAAGGGTTTTAGTCCAATCAAACAAATTATCTCTGCCCCAGAGAGCAGTGTGGTCACCAAGAAAGGCTGGAGGAGTAGGGGCACTAGAAGTGTCTGGGTTTTGTGGGGAGGAGACCTGGTTTCTGTTCTCATGCTATAAATCCTCACATCATGCCGAACTCAACTCTCCGTGGAATGACTGTCAGCTGCCCAGGATGCCTTGTGTCCTCCTCAGTTAAAACGACTAAGAAGAAAATGTCTGAAGTGGTATTTCAGGTGGGACTCAAAAAATAAGTTGAGGCCCTATCAGCGTGACAGACCGGTGCTGCATTGGGAAGACACGGTGAAGTGGGACTCGCTCAAGTGCTTATGGCATTGGTAACCTGGGCAACAGCAATGCCGCCATCCGGCATGTGAAGATCTTCACTAATTACTGGAAGTTAAATATTCTCCTCTTCAGTGTCCCCAGCCCCTCCAGCTCTGTAGTGCTGTGCCCAGGGCCAGCCAGCGAACACCCAGCCCATGGTTTAGAGCTGAACGCCAGCCAGGCTGAGCCCTCCTGCACCAGGACAGGGGCTGATGGTGTGAGGGGTCAGGGACAGAAGGGATCTGGCTGACTTGCTTGGGAAAGTTTGCAGAGGATTAGTTGCCAAGGGAAATATTTGGTGAACTTCCATGCTGCTGGAGAACCAGGGGCTTGTTAAACGGAGTAGCAGCGAGAAGCATCTCAAAGACCTCACTGGGAAATTAGCTCCTTGTCACACTGGCTTAGGAGCGCAGCGAGCACTTCAGAGCATGCCATGCCTTCTTATGCAAGAACACTTGTTTATCTGAGCATGGGCTGAATCCCAAAGTACTTATTCATTTTCCTCTCCTCTGGGAAGGCAGGGAGAACAGATCAATGCCATCAGTGGGAATATTGCTAGTTTGAATAAAGGGATTTGGCCCATGCTGTCAGAATCAGACTTCAGATCTGTTCACAAAATCATTGCCTTTGTTTTTGCAGCCCTAATCCCTGGTACATTTTCCTGTTAGGTTGTTTAACAGAATGGGGCTACAGGGTATTTCTGTGCTTCAACCCCCAGCCACTCACAAAGCTTTGGAGGGCTTAACCTCCTGGTTAGTGGTTGAAATGAAAGGAGAAGCCCAATGCTGCAGGGAGGTGGTGGGACTTACCACGTGCCCAGTGTGAATGAACAGTTTTATTAAAAGTAGGCCCATTGTTGCAAATGACACTAATTAGGGCCATGATCCAGGTAGAAAAGTTAAGGAGTGACTATACTCAAGACAGATCTCGTGGGGTAAGGCATGCTGGCAAATCAGTCAGTGAATGAAGCAGAAGGGAAGGTTGCTTGTAGTTTTGTTTTTCCTGCTGTAGGCTGAGTTATTTCCTGCCATCCACAAGAGTACCACTGTGCTATGGCACATGTCCTGGGTGCTGCTGGGAGGGGTAGGGGATGGTGCTTACCATGGAGTGCCCCAGAATGAGAATGGGCAGCTCGGGGTGCTCTTTCTTCATGAGGTCAATGTGCTGCAAGCTGTCCCTGATGAAGACGTGGAAATCTGAGACAACCATACGATCTCCCTCGCTCTGCCCATGGCCAACTGTAGGGGAAAAGGAGAGCATGGATCCAAGTCATTCGAAGCAGTGGTTGCAATGGAGAAAGGCTTTAGCAGAAACACGCCTGTTGGATAGTTACTGTCCTAACTTGGCATTCTCCTACAGTCACCCCTTAACAGGAAGAGTTTTGCAGAAATACAAAGTAAGCTGCACAGAGCTGCTTAAAAAGTGCCATACTGTCCATAAGCGGATTTAAAAAAAAATCTTATATTCACCTGTGTTTCCACCTGCTCTTCAAAACTAAGAGTACCAATCTATCTCTTGCAGCCTTCAACATCAGGGTGAGGAGAGCAGAGGGGCTGTCTTGCCTTGCTGTGGAGATGGCGGGTCACTGCATCCTCGGAAATGGGTTTTTGCCTCAGGGATCATAGCTACCGGGGTCTGATCGCTCACTGTACAGCAATGACTGCTGTGTAGCGTCTTGGCAAGAAACAGACAAATTCTGAAGACTAGATATAGTTGCTATAAACTTAACAGGTCATGGACACAGCCTTTTCCAGTGCCTGGGTGTGCACGAGCTTTGCAGAGTCCTGCCTTTTCTCACTGATACCCTGGAGCACTAAGTGGGCTGGAAACCTCCCCTGCTACGAGGTGAAGAGCTCTCAGCAAAGGAGGCCAAGTGACGGCGGTTGCAACAGCCTGCAGTGGGAAAGGGTCAAGTGGCATGCTCCTCCTAAACAAGTGTTAATGCAAACTACTGCTCCTGGACCACGTTAGCTCGTTCTGTATCTGGGAATTACCTCGTCTGATCAAAGGGAAGGAAAGACTAAAACGGGAGATGGTGAGTTGCTATGGGAACAGTGGCATCCCTGGCCGAGATGGAGCCAGCATTGCCACAAACACAGTCCCAGGCAGTTTTGAGCTTGCAAAGGCTTGAAATTAATATCACTTCGGGGAAGCAGTTTGCATATTTACCTGACCACACATACATGTTATTATCTATCACAAATAGGACTCTTCCTTAAAAACAGTCTTGCTTGTTTCTGTTCCATGCAGGTTGTTAAGGAAAACTGTGAAGGGGAAAACACATCCCATCCCTATGGGATAGGTTACAGGGAGTCTTAAACAACATACCCCTCCTGCTGCGTGTCTCCTGAGGCCTTCTCCAGTGGGCACTTAGGCATACTTAAAGGCACAAAGGGGCAATGACTTGTCAAAGGATGCGAAGTGCCTGATAACTGTTTACGTGCCGTATGGCACCCCCCTCTAGTGATCAGCAAAGCAAAGCATTGCCCACCCAGCCCGAAAGGTAAAGGCTTTTCAGTTAGATCTGCTGGCAACAGTCATACCCGAAGAAATCAGTACGTGTAAACTTAATTTTCCTGTAAGCCACCCAAAAAATCACCTTGCAAATTAGGCAGAACTTCTAATAAAAAGCTGGACTCAATACACTCCATCTAAGAAAAACTGAACCCCAAACTTGTTCTTTTGTCTGCCACGTGCTCTCCAGAGCTGAGTCTCCAGCCGTGCTGTCTGCCAGATAAACCCATAGATGTCATGCTAGTCAATTATAAATAACATATTACCATTCTGCTTTCCATGCACACACTCCAGTTCCTGCCAAAATATGATACAGGAAGCATCCTCCGCGGATCAGTGACCAGAAACAAATCGAAGAGCCAATTAAAATAAAAGTTGCAATGATCTACAGAAGTAAAGCCATGTGTGTGGCTAATGGATCCATTAACTTTAAACTGACTTTTATTACAGATGGAAAGCAAGCTTTTCCCAACTTTTATACCTGTCCAGCCCACTCACTTTGTGGACATCAAATGCGTTACCTGCCTATTACTTAAACTTCAAATTTAGCAGGTTAATTTGAGTTGAACAGTCCAGAGAGAGGAACATTTTCCCTTAGCAGAGCTCTGCACTTCCACTTCTTTTTTCTCTGGTGCTGCTTGCACTTGCTTCTAGTATCTCTTTCTCTACAGTGTCTGTGTAAGAAAGACAGCTGAGCAAGCAGAAACAGCAAAGCCCTGTGGCCCAGTTTGTGTATGGGCCATGACTCCCTGTTTTGGAGCTGTAAGGCTTTGCTCTATTTTTGGATGAGACAGAGGCAGGTCTGGAAAGCCTTCTTTGTCCTCAGCATGGAGAAAATCCCCTGGTCCTACCACATAAAAATGATGCTGCTCATAACAATCAGAGTTATGATTGCTGAAGCCAAGAAATAACCTGTGCAATAGCTGTGACAAGCATCTCACTGGATTTCTGCAGGGTTTGGGATTCTTTTTTATTAATATCTTAATGAACCCACCTTCTGACCCTGCTTTTAACTACTAAACTACTGTTCCCCACTCAGATGGGTGCAGTTTGTCTGCATGTATGGTAAAGGAAGGCCGTGCAAGTCTTCGCTTTGATACTATCCCTGCCCCTTGCACAAAGTTAGCCAGATGGCATTGCTGTGTTCTTTTATTTGACTATTTTTCTCTCTTCCTTCCAAGAAACCAAACTCACTCCACCAGAGAATGGGTTTATTGCAAGTTTGAATCTCCCAGCTGAGAAAGCTTCAGGGTGAGGAACTAAGACCTCTTCTGTGAGATGAAAGATGTGCACAACCAAACATCAGTACAGTCAAGAATATTGACATGTTTTTCTCTGATCTTTCACCTTTAGAGCTATTAAGAATGAAAGGTCAGGTTCATTCTTGATGTACAGCTATTTGCTTTCAGTTTTGCTGGGAATGAATCTGATGTCATGGTTCCACCCTGCCAGTGGCAAGACAGGGGGTGCAAGAGGAGGGGAACCACCTGCACCCAGAACTGGAACTACTAGAGGCTGCTTCACACCCAAGTGACACGCACCGAAGGGAGACACCAGAGAAGCGTCATGAGAATCATAGCTCCATGAGTTCCTCATCACAACACTGTGATGCAATGTGAGGTTATAAACACGAGATGCTCATCTGTAAAGAGTTGTGATTGCCAGTGCACACCCGCATGTGCACCCACACTTGGTTTTCAAAAACTGCCGACCAGGTTTCATATCTATCTGGCTTCACATCCAGCTTGCGTGGTTCACTGCTACTATCATGTATGTGCAGTGGCTCAGTGATCCACTGTTTCAGGTTGCATATACTGGGATAATTGTGGGCACACTTTCTGAGACGTGAGCCTTTAAAAAACCTCAAAACACATCTTTTCAAATTGCAAATCTAGAATTAGGAGTTCTAAGCCTCCATTTCCAACCAAACACACCACTGCAAAATAACATACTTCGCTCAAAGACTGAATAAAGGCTGTAATGATCTGGCCCAATATGTAATAGCTATTAATTTCTGCCCTCTGTATTTTCTTCATGAGCTTGCTCAGACTGCAGCTCTGCCACCGTAGAGACAAGAACAGTAACTCAAGATCAGTCAATCCTGTCAGAAAGCATGACTTCAGAGCATGATTTCGCCTACAATTATAGATCCCCCAAAAGCTACACACCTCTCTGGATGGAAGAATACTGACTGGCTGCGCAGGAAGACAAAGTTGAGGGTTCAGTGATGAAATATTTGAGGGTGTGAGGGTTCTGGGGAGTGCGTTATCACCACGTAGGTATCACTGTGCCTGCATAATGGATCCTGTGGTCCTGCAAATGTGTATTTCTACAAGTACCTCCATTCCTCAGATCTCATATTCTCTTGTAGTGTGGGGCTTGCTTTTGAAAACCACTCCAAAGCAGCCAGACTCATCAGCTGACATTGGCTCACATGCCCCCAAAAATGTTACATCCTGGTCAGATTTGAGATATACTGAAAAAAATATAAATAAAAAGCATAGTGCAACTCGACACTCCCTCCTCTTCAGTAAAATGGGAACTGCCTGAAGAAATGCGCACACACAAGCTCTGGGCTTGCTGGGCAGAGGGTAGGGAGGAGCTGTGCCGGGTCTCCCCTGGCATGATGCTTTTTTACTGGGGCTGTGGGGCCACATCATAGCTGAAGAAATTCATCCTTAAATACACTAATTAAGACCAAGAAGCATTAGGCAAAGAGGAGAGCCTGGCAGTGCCTGTCTCCACACAGCCTAGGGTGCATTGGCACCCAGCCCTCTGAGGTACTGCGGGGATGGATGAGCACAGCAGCACACCTTGTCTGCCCTCAGATATTGCACAATTTTTGTTCTAAACACCAACTTTTATATGAGCCACGCACTATACATATTTCTTTCTCTTTCCTAGTGCCAAACCCTCCTGACAAAGGCACAGCCTCACCCTGCTCGCTCAGGTGTGGACTGAATTGCTCCTCAGAGCTTCAGCAGTAACATTTTGCTACAGAAGATGAGGTGACAGGGGAAGTGCAAGGTCAAATGTTGACTTCAGCTATGCTGCTGTAAATTTACCGATTTCAGTGCTGTTCCTTAAAGCTTACAGCCATGGGAGACCAGAAATTATGGGCTATGCTGTTTTTTCAGCCTTTGCTCCCTATTAACTATGGGAAAGCCATAAAACATAGAGAGAGGACATGAGAAATCTGCCTGGGGAGCAGTAATCTGGATCTTGACTTTTCACATATTTTGATGTTTCCAAAGGGGAAAGGGGATGGTTTGGATCCATTTTTGTTGTAGCGAGGACACCATCACAGGCATCTGTGGGGTGAAATGCTCTCCCTAACCAACTGATGGTAGAAACAATCAAGAGAAACGCAGGGCTTGACTTCTGCCTCAGGATCCACCATACTGTGCATTTGTTTTCCTCTCTAGATTCCTAACTCCAAGATTTTGAAGCGGGAGAACTAGAAACAGGTAGAGTTAGGAGAAGATCAGGCACTCCAGGCTCACTGCTCCCTCAGCATAAATACATTTTGAATTGCCATAGCACTAACACAGGGGCGCCAGGAGTTTTCAGAAGTAGTTAAAGGTGAGATCTGCCACCACTGCGAAGTGAGTGATTCACCAGGCACAGCTGAGGAGCCACTACTGTACCACAGAGTCCCACATCGAAAGGCCACTTCTTAATTATGTCAGAGGGGGCCATTGACAAAGCTCAGTGCTGTAGCACC